GAATCCAATTAGGGGAGAAACTGTAGGCGCCAAGTCTTTGTCTTGTAGCTTCAGTTGTTTAAATGTGTCGTAGTACATGATCTCACATGAACTACCCTGGTCAACCAGAATCCGCTTGACGTCAAAGTCCTTGACTCGGAGAGTGACGACTAGAGCATCATTGTGAGGACAGTATATTCGATCCAGGTCCTTATCCGAAAAAGACATGACGTTTGCTGCCTCTGTCTTTCCCTTCTTGATGGCAGGTTGGGCACTTAACACCTCTCTAAAGTGCTCTGCCTTCTTGATTGATCCCCTGAGCTCGCATACACGCTCAGGTTCAAAGACTCCATGTATTACATTGATAACACCTTGAGGCGGGGCGTCAATTGGCATTCTGTTGGGGTTATTGTGATCCTGGGGGGCTGGTTGCATTCCTCCTTCGATGTACTTATCCAAGTGGCCTGCTGCCACCAATTCCTCCAAGTGTTGTCTCAATGGTGTGCAATTCTCAGTGCGGTGCCCTTTTTCTTTGTGGAAGGTGCACCGTGATCTCTCGTCATAGTCCTTCTGAGTTTCTCCTAGCTTGGCTGGCCACTTGACGAAAGGCTCATCTCTTATCTCACTTAGAATCCGATATATCGGTTTCTTGAACACCGTGGTTATGGCAGTGCGGATTCTCAACCATCTCTTATCGGGGTCTTCTCCGTTATCTCGTTTGCCACATCCGTTTCTGTTACTTCGGTCTACCGTGTTGACTTGGCTGAGGTTTTTCTTTTCTGGTATTGCGGTCGCACTAGATTTTGTTTTGGCACGTGCACCATCCTCTTCTACCCTGATGTGCTGATGCACTCTTTCCATCAGAGCTTCCATAGTGAGGGGTGGCATCATGGTGATCGAGTCCCTCAGTCTGTTCCCAACTGGAAGGCCTCTTTTATATTGTGCAATGGCGAGATTGGTGGGGCAGTCCCTATCTGATTGAATGTCTTCCAGTAGCGACTGTTGTAAGATCTGAGGGTCTCTTTTTCACCCATGTCGATGGAGAGAAGCTGGTCGATCTCCACCGGGGTTTTAGTGTTCGTTCGGAACCTTGTTACGAATGCTTCTGCCAATTGCACCCAAGAGGCTATGCTGCCCTCAGGAAGTTCTCGAACCAAGTCAAGCCGAGGTGCCAAGACTTGATGGGAAGAGTATGCACATTAAGGCCTCGTTTCGCCTGTATACAGCCATGACTTGGCGAAAATGGCTTAAGTGTGAGTAGGGATCCGTCTTCCCTTCATATGTAGTGAATTTCGACTGAAGGAAGCCTGATGGTAGGGGCGCGTTTTCGATCGCTGGAACAAACGGTGAAGTCTGCAGCCTTGCTAATGCCTTGTCCGTCGGTTCATAGGCAGGGCGCGGTATTGGCATTCCAACCTCGACGCTTCCATGCGTCCGATGAGCCAACCGCTGCAAGGCTGAAACTCTATGTGGATCCCTTGCCCTGGCATCCTCCTTGCATCGTGCTTTCTCTTCGAGCACGGTTCGTAAGTCGGATGATCTGGGTAATTCCGTCTGTTTAAGA